TTCCATGTTTTTTGTGTGAATGGGACAGCAGAGCACGAAATCAGCACTGGATAAAGAAGTAATGGGCGTGCAGAGTCAGCCTGATACCAGGATCGAAAATAATGAACGTAAAAGTTTGGTTGACACAAAGAAAGTCCTTTTACCTCCATTTCACATAAAACTAGGCTTGATGAAGCAGTTTGTAAAGGCCTTAGACAAAGATGGTGACTGTTTCAAGTATCTTTGTGGGAAATTCCCAGCTCTTTCAGAAGCGAAACTTACAGAAGAGATTTTTGTTGGACCTCAAATTAGGAAATTGACTTTGGATGAACAGATCGAAAGGACACTGAGGAAAGTTGAAAAAGAAGCGTGGATTGTCTTTAAAGATGTTATTGACAAATTTTTAGGAAACAAAAAGGATCCATATTACGAAAATATTGTCAATAACATGCTCAATAAATTCAAAGGGTTGGGTTGTAATATGAGCTTAGAAGTTAATTTCTTATACTCACATATTAACAAGGGAAAAGATTTCATCGTGGAAATGGAGAGGAGGTATCAGGGAAGGTGGAACATCATCATGATGGTTGATTATCGCTGGTCATTGAAACGAGATGCTCCAGGCACAATACATAAAAGAAAGACCACAACACGTAGTTTGAGGTTAAATGATGCAGATTTCACCAAAAAATAATGATGAATGAGGATGCATATTAATTTGACATCATTTTTCTCTCCCTTTTCTTCAGTTTGTTTGTATTTTTGTTAACAAACATAATATTAAAAGATGTTCATTGTGGTAAACGAAATATTGAATAAATCTAAGTAACAGTTTTTTCTTTCCGATTTGTAAAAACTCCTTACGTGATAGAAATATATATATATATTATTTTCGAAATCGCGTAACTGAATTATCGAAAATCCATTATTAAAACCAAAACAACTTTTATGAAGTTTAAATTCGCAGGCCTGTGTTATCGATATATTTTCCAACATATCAAGAATCTAAGTTAACATCAGTAATTTCCACATTGTTAACGTTACGAATTCAAATTCTTAGCCTTTGTAAAACTATGTAGGTGCCGCCACTTGTACCTGCTTTTTTTTTTGTATGAAATCTCACTGACTTGCTTTCTCAATTTTGTGACTGTCATTTAGCATTATATTAATTAAACATATTTTTTACGTAAATACCACCAATATTTTCTTTCTCTGCTGTTAATTTAATATTTCCAGTTCATTTGATAGATTGTTTAGGCAGGGTATTAATGATGAACAAACTGGTATGGAGGGCAAATATGTTGATTAAAACTTAGGGGACTTGCCTATGATTTTCGTGATTTTTAATTTGCTTGCATGGGTTGCCGGAAAAAGCGAGAGGAGAGGCCGAGAAGAAGACCGGAAATGCTGTTTTCCTGTTGTTGTACTTGTTGAGAAAGTTTTTGCTTTTGCTTCTAGTCTGGCACATAAGATCAAGCAGGTCAATGTGTGTAAGATGTTGGAGGTCTTTATAGTATCCTGGTTAATTGTGGAGGACGTGTTATGATTGGTTTGTTTATACCTAGCTCTGATTGGTGGAAAGACTGCATGAGGTTTCAACCAATGTTAGTCACAGGTTGCTCAGCTCTAATCCCAAATCTCTGTTTAGTAATGGTTTTATTGTATTGATATAGAAAGATTCTTTAATTTTTCTTGTCTTCCAAAATTTGTGTGTCTATGATTTTAGTTTTATTCCAGATTGGATCGGATCACACACTAACAAAACAACCACCAAGGATCGGATCACACACTAACAAATCAACCACCAAGGATCGGATCACACACTAACAAAACAACCACCAAGGATCGGATCACACACTAACAAATCAACCACCAAGGATCGGATCACACACTAACAAAACAACCACCAATGATCGGATCGGATCACACACTAACAAATCAACCACCGAGGATCGGATCACACATTAACAAATCAATTACCTTGAGCATTTTACCTTATCCGAAATATCCCATTTCAGGTTTACGACGAGGCATGGACAAAGACTGCATTGTCTTATTCTTGTATCTACTGTGCTGTAAATGTACTCATTTCAATTTCAGTTGTTGTGATTCTTTTATTATCTGTTCATTGTCAACTCTGTTAACTTTGTATAGTTTTTTATATTGTATACTGTTAATTGTCGTAAATAAAACTTTATGTCTTGGCCCCTTTTGGGGTCGAATGTGAAGCTCCCCCGGTATCAGCGTGTGCCAGCTCTGCATCTCCCCCGCTGCACATTTCAGCAAAATTGTAGTGGGCTCGACTGGTTGCTTCGTGTCATACAGTCTGACTGGTCTACTCTTCATGGCGTTTACGTACTGCTTGAGGTGGCAAGTGAGAAAGCGTCATTCATTTCCAGGGACCTCAAAAATATTTTTATTAAGCCCAATATTGAGCAGAAAATCGATCAATTAAGAGTGGGGCGAAAAGAAATCCAAATTTCTGACCATCCCTGCTTTTAAACCAAAATACCTACCACGATGACGACACACACTGACGGAAGACTTGCGAAACGTTGTACTCCACACTTATTTTTTAATACAGGCAGTTATTAATTTTAATATTGTTTTGTGCTGATATATAATGCCCGTAACCTATTATAGCGCCATCTAGTGCTATGATAGTTAAGCCTAAATTAAATGCTAATATTTTCCCTACAAAGCAGCAAGAATATGTAGTATTTGTTTTATCAAAGCGTAACCTTTAATTTAAAGACAACTGGTAAACGCAAACGTTTCAAGCTTTGTGATTAAAACCTTGAAAACTCAAGTAACCTCACTATCATTAGAAATACAATTAGTACAATTTCGGCAGTTTTTACTTTTCTGAGGAACTTTTTTCAATGTTTGTAGAAACCTCACCGCTTGCTTCCTACAAATCTCTATGTCGTGCTGTACAATTTCCGTTGTCGTCACCAAGACGAACTAGATCTCAAGTAAGTTCTATTTATAACTGGTCGTCTACAACTTATTCAGAATTATTGGTAATCTATTAGAACTAGCCATCCATACGTTATTCGGAATTATCAATAACTTATTAGAACTGGTCGTCTTCAAGTTGTTCAGAATTATCAATAATTAATTAGAACTAGCAATTCTTAAGTTATTCAGAATTATCAATAACCTATTAGAACTGATCGTCTTCAAGTTATTCAGGATTATCAATAATCAATTAGAACTGGTCGTCTTCAAGTTATTCAGATTTATCAGTAATCTATTAGAACTGGTCGTCTTCAAGTTATTCATTATTGATAATTCTGAATAACTTAAGAATGGCTAGTTCTAATTAATTATTGCTAATTCTGAAAACCTGAAGACAACCAGTTCTAATAGATTATTGATAATTATGAATAACTTGAAGATGATCAGTTCTAATAGGTTATTGATAATTCTGAATAACTTAAGAATGGCTAGTTCTAATTAATTATTGATAATTCTGAACAACTTGAAGACGACCAGTTCTAATAGATTATTGATAATTCTGAATAACTTAAGAATGACTAGTTCTAATTAATTATTGAGAATCCTCTATTAGAACTGGTCGTCTTCAAGTTAATCAGATTTATCAGTAATCTATTAGAACTGGTCGTCTTCAAGTTATTCAGAATTATCAATAATTAATTAGAACTAGCCGTCCATAAGTTATTCAGAAGTATTAGTATTCTAAGCACATTTCTATAAATTGGTATGTGAATTTTTAACATTCAGAAGTCAAGAAACCATTAGTCATACGTTGATATGAAACCTCAACAACTTTCTCGTAGTCACAAACAAACAAACAAAATCAAGTTACTGGTGAATGTTTTGATCGATCATCCGAAACTTTTACAGTATCTTCAGTAGTTTACTTTCAATTTTCGAAGTTTCACAGTAGTCTAATGATCACTAATAAACTTTAAGCCTAAATGAACAGTAAATTACACATTTTGTTGTTGAATAGAACCACGAGTGTTGGTACGCATTACTAATTGAACTAAAGTTTAAGCATTTTATTATTGAATAGGCCCATGAAAGTGTTGATAAGCCGTAGGCCTAAATGTATTAAAGATTATGCATTTTGTTTTCTAATAGAACCATGAAAGTATTGTAAGATCGTGTAAACTGTTGACTTGAAAAAAAAAGTGTTAGTAATTGTTTTTGCTGATTTTTATTTTCTGCAAAATGCATCATTTTGCTTTCATGAAAAGCACAATATCACGACTTCTATTTTATATTTAAATAGAAGGGCAACATTAACGCTTTTATGGTGTTCTAACAAGAATTTCCGAAGCTATGGGTACTTGTTTTACGAACACCAACTGCTATTTAATCACATAAGGCACGATGTGTAGATCCTAAATCCTAGTAAGTAAAGTACGTCTTCTTTCATTATCCTAGGGCAGGATGCACTGTGACTGTGATAGACACGAGCGATCCTGATTGGTGGCAGGTAAGCTTCATCTTTTGAGTTTCTCAGTTATCTGATAGTAGCTTCAGTGTGAGGTACAATGGATTCAACTACAGAGGAAAAAACTGCCAATTGATCGTTGTAGTTTCATTTCAACAAAAACCAGAGCAATTAGAAAGGTTGTATACCCTCGCCCCACCGCAAATTTTTGGTTTCAATGTGCGCCTAAAATTCGGTCCTAATCCTATCACTTTTTACACAGTTATTATCAACAAATAAACTGAGAAAATGTCCTATATCTCCATTATATAAATATTTCAAAGTGATCCAGAATCTGAATCAGGATCCGGACTAGATTTGGGGATGACTGTTCTATGTGGACACTCTATCTCCTGTCAAATTTTCATGAAAATTGAAATGGTGTATTTAAGTGTTTAACACTCACAAAAAAGAAACCTATCATTCTATA